CACACACACACACACACACACACACACACACACACACACACACACACACACATACATACACACACACACATACACACACACTCGCGCGCATGTAATGGTTTATATTTTGCCATGGTTACGGTTATTACCTCTCGTCTACACGACTGCTGCGTTTTGAACCACGTATAGGCTACAAACGACATTTCTTTAATCAGATCTCAAAAAGATTTCCCTCGCGGTTATTTGCCCTCTCATCTTCAATGGCACCTATTGTGATTATGGGGTCAATCTGCCGTGGAATTCAGCACGCCCCAAGCGGCCATATTTACTTGTCTTTCTTTATACCCCGCGGGCTAACCCAGCGTGTAAGATAATTCGGGAGAGAAAGCTCATTAAATCTCAGCTGTCGTATTGCGATGATGTTAGCAGACTAACCCAATTCCGCATCGAAGTCGCGTACAAACACTGTCGCATGTATTCCTGAAAAATCCGATAATATAATACGAGGTATTGTGTCGCGTGAAGAGCACGTCGTCTTTACGTGTGTATTTAACGGGTTAACGCAGTTCCTACGAAACTGAAATTTCCAATTGAATTCCGACGAATATTTCATCCACATTATGTTGAGCACGTACGTGCATTCGTAATCTCTCATTCTAGCTTACGGTGCGACGCCGTTCGCGCGTCCGTCATTTAATAAAAATTGTAATCTCGCGCGCCCAAAACTAGAGCATGATTTATGAGATTACTTTAATAAGATTAATAAGTGTCGATACAGACGCGATCCTCACGCCCCCGGCTGACTGACCCGTTATGCGTCTCAACCGCAACTTACGCGTCTCATGCTTACGAGCCCACTTGCGGGTAGTAATGCAGCGATCATACATTCAGGCCTCTGACCCCCCCTGACTAACCTAGATCCCTTTCACGACTACTCTATATTTGGCAAAAGCTGCCCCCTTGAAAACATTTGACGCCTTTCTTGGAGTGGCCTTTCGGAAGCGGGGTCACTTCGGGTATGTAAAAGCTTGTATTTTGGCGCGAAATTGAAGTGGTTTACGCCGGACGGGTCGGTTTTCTGTGCCAATTCTATTGTTAAACCTAGCACCTCGTTTTCCTCTCGTACAGCCTCGCCTCGACGAAACAGCGCGGAAGCATTCATCTGTATAATGATCTCGTTATGCAGTCGTGACAACTAGGAATGTCCTTCACGCTTGTACGCAAATAAGTGCAGAATGGCCCGTTGTGCGCCCTCTGTATTGGGTCGGTCCTACCTACACGACATCTTCATGCTTACTGACATTCTTTTCTGGCTTTTCGAGAAGAGATTATGGAAAATCGGTAACGTTAAGTATGGTGCGTTATAGAATTATATACGTGTAGTTAGGTTATTGTCAGGTTAAAATATAATCGATTTTTGTCGGTGATGTTACCAGACATTATGAACGTATCGTTTTTATTAATATCACGAGCTAATAATACATAATACGGTATTAATAGCTCTTGTTAATATCTAATTAGCTATATCGTTGATGCATAAATAACTCTGCAAGGCGATAGCTTAGGTGTGGCTTATAATTAGGTGTGTCAACGTGTACTTTTAGCACCTACCTCGGCATGTACGTTAAGCCCCACAGTATGCTGTCGGTCGTCTCTGTGAAGTTTACTGTTATAATCTTGCTGAACATGAAACATGCGGTCATATGTCGACGCTGACTTCCTCTAAAAGCAATCGAAAAAGTATATAGGAATATTTGTTGTTATTTTTAGACGATTGTCTTCGACTATGTTAGTCTGTTCTGCATTTATTCGAGTTCATCGTCTTCATTTACTGATTTCAGTGTCTTAGTATACATTCGCCAGGGTCTGTGCTCACTTAGCACCGTCAATACTACGGTCAAATAGCTGATGAAATATTTAATTTAATTGTTACGACAATTTCAGCTTCTTCATAAACCGATTTACTGAACAGAGCATCTCTTACCAGTTTGTTATTGTTAAAGAAACTCATCCCAGATGGCGAGAAACATTCGACCGGTAGTGGTTTAACACCTGGCCAATTTTTGGTTCCATCGCCTTTTGTTGACAAGTGTTGTTTGTGTATTCTCTGTTCTCGCTAAAATGTAATCAGCTCGTATAAAAAAGCAGGACAACGAAATAAACGATTAATGCATTACTCTTATTTATGTATTTATCTATATAACTATATATCTATCTATCTATTTATCTATCTATCTATCTATCTATCTATCTATCTATCTATCTATCTATCTATCTATCTATCTATCTATCTATCTATCTGTCGA